TCTTCCTCACAGTAGCATGCGACCGGCGAGCAGATGTCTAAACAGGGTCAACATATACAACAACAACAACAACAACACATACAACAACATATACAACAACAACATATACAACAACAACATATACAACAACAACAACAACACATACAACAACAACAACAACAACAACAACAACAACAACAACAACAACACATACAACAACATATACAACAACAACATATACAACATATACAACAACAACAATAACAACAATAACAACAACAACAACAACAACAACAACATATACAACATATACAACAACAACATATACAACAACAACAACAACAACAACAACAACAACAACAACAACAACAACAACAACAACAACAACAACATATACAACAACAACAACATATACAACAACAACAACAACAACAACATATACAACAACAACATATACAACAACAACATATACAACAACAACAACAACAACATATACAACAACAACATATACAACAACAACAACAACAACAACAACAACATATACAACAACATATACAACAACATATACAACAACATATACAACAACAACAACATATACAACAACAACAACATATACAACAACAACAACAACATATACAACAACAACATATACAACAACAACAACATATACAACATATACAACAACATATACAACAACATATACAACAACAACAACATATACAACAACAACAACAACATATACAACAACAACAACATATACAACATATACAACAACATATACAACAACATATACAACAACAACATATACAACAACAACATATACAACAACATCATATACAACAACATCATATACAACAACATGTACAACATATACAACAACATCATATACAACAGTGCGTGTGAATTTTATATGATGCAAATGTGTGTTATTTTCCGAGATTAATAAGAATCGATCTGAAACTATATCGCATAAACAATGTAAACATTGCTATGAACATGTGATGTGATAAAAGTAACCTTTCGAGACTATGATAGCGACAAGTTGTTCACTATCATTAATCCCGGAATAGAAAACACACATTCTTCACATTTGCATAGTATCAAATTCACACATACAGTGATTAATCTTTTTTTACATAGACTTCCCCCCCCAGTGTTAGGAGCACGAATTCGTCCAACTTCAAGGAATAGCTTTACCTCGATTTCGATAACAATGGGAAAAATGTTCCTAATGTGATGACATCTACATGGGAAAGTGATTGAAAAATGTGGAAAATTAAAAATGGGTTCTCCCCACGGCAACATTATAGATTTCCGGATGATTCTCTGGTGAAAAGTATATAAATTTTTTTTCTTGACAAATGCGAAATCTGATTCTGATCGATATCCTTTGCACGCATGCGCATCGTATCTCACCAGCTCGTTAATGAGATCCATCGTGTCCAACATTCTGCCAGATCGGACATCATCCAAAGAGCTTTCGCGCTCGCCCTGATGATCGATTTCACTCTTACTAGCATCTCCACAAGAGACGCCGCATCCACCACATCCCGAGAATCTGATGAAAATCTTCATAGTGCGCAAAGATTCCCTCAACTGACACTAGAGCTGCTGCTAAAACCGTGCAAGTGATGAAGATATTCTTCAACGAGAACATTATATAAAAGGGGCCTGATCGAAAACAATCCGAATTTCATCAAAACCAACACTAAGAAAATTCATCATTTTTTCCCGAAAAAAAATCTCCCTTTCTTTCGAAAATTCTTCCCTTAAATTTTCTCAGAAACTCGACATTTTTTCGGAGATTTTTCCCATAAATTTCGTATTTTTTCCATAAATTTCTCCCATCGTTAATTCACAACACTAATGATCCCTAATTGAATGAACACAAGCCGCAAAGACAGGTAACACAACCATGAATATCATATCGCATATCAACATGTTTCTAACAAGATGTCCGCACTCGGAAGATTCCACACCCCTACACTTGCAGTGACCTCTTACCAACCGTTTTAACATTATCGTCCTCATCCTGAAATTAACTAAATAACACAGCACGCATGCACATTCCATGTGGTGGTTTTTCCGCTGTAATTTGCCAGGTGTTTTCAGAGCACTTCATATCGCGTTTTTCACATGGAGTATTACGCCACCTCAAGTAAAATGGATGAGTTTCCAATTATGTGCAACTATTCAGCATACGAGACTTCAGAGTTGAGGAAACTGTTCGTAACGATCGCAGGTTCGATTCCCAGCAGAGGCTTTTTTTCGAGCATTTTCCATTGCTGACAGTCACAGCGCACAACAGTTTAAGCCCATACACGCTAAATGATGGGCATGGGAGTACTCTAATATTTTAGTAGTAGTAAAAATATTTTGTATTTTTACTTATTAATTGTACTAATTGGTTAACTAATTGTATTAACTAATTATTAATGTATTTTTAATAGTACTTTTAATAAAATTCATGAAATTCGCTCTTCCGAGTGGTATGTGTCTCGAGAGCTCAACTGGTGTAGTCGTAGAGAAATATTTTCAACGAACGAACACACAGAAAATGCACCTAGTGACAGCATATGCTCCGCTGGCTTCGCACTTTTACATTTACCGATGTGTAGGAAAATATGCACATGGTCAGCCACATGTGTTGGTGACAAAAATTTCGGGAAATTCTCGCAGGTTTTTGTGCACTTCTACCCGGAAACTCCCGAGCTCAGCTGAGGAAAGCAAACTTATATGAAAAACTCCGCAAAATTTACCACAACTATGATACAAAAAACCCCGCATTTTTTCTTCCCAAAGTGACCAACCTCAGGAGCATCAGAGACGGTATAAGATTCCTTGGGTGATGAATTCCCCTTATCCATGTTCAGAATCATATTTCCAAGTCGACCCTTTCCCAAGGCATCGATAGCTTCCTGTTCTCTCTCCAGCTCTGCTAGTTTAGACCCGTCCACGAGGCGCTCGGACTGAACTGACGCGGAGGGATGGCAACAGTTGCAACCGCAACCAGCGTAACTGAATGATAAAATGCTCTTGAACCTGCGACCTACAAAAAACCTTTGGAAAATTGATAAAAAATATTCAACGAAATTGACGAAATTTAAATATAATGTAAAAACGGCACGGAAATTGAAAAAGTCCCGAGTCATGAGAAACACAATGAAATTGTCAAAGTCGACATTGCATTCTATGGATAAGCGTTGAAGACTAACGTGTCTCCTTTGCAATACCACAATTTCAACAATTCCAAAACCCAACTCACAAGATTGCCATCATCAGCACCACACCTGTAGTGATGATGTTCTTGGGCAGCAGAGAGGACATCGTTGAGTGTTAGGGGCTTGACAGAAGCTGACATGTTTCAGCATTTCCCACAAGAGATTTGATATTCTCCCATGTAGGAATTCAAAACCATCGAAAGCAGGATTTCCATCGTCACATATATGTTGACTGTCAAAGCTCTGTGTTAAACTTCCTACACGTGCACGTGGGCTCACCCTACCCCCACCGCATGTGCTGAGTGGACAACACCATCAGTTGTGGAAAGACCTAGTAGGAAGGTGCACTTTTGCGATTGATTCTCAAATTATCTCGTCAATGTGGTAAAACTAATCCACCACAGAATCGAACCTCCAACCTCCCCGTCTATAGACTTAACTTATAACCACTACGCTATTGAACCTTTCTAATACCAATCAACATAAACGATGGCCAAGGGGATAATGCGCTCAACGATCAATGGATGGAAATGGCACTCCTGAAACGCTTCGCTCCGCTTAAGAATTACCGCGCGCCACGAAATTACTTTGTTAACTTAGTCCTACTCGGTTTTTGCTTAGATGCCGAAATATTTTTGCGAGTATTGCGATATCTTCCTGGCACATAGCAGCTTCTTTGGAAGGAAGCAGCACTCTACCGGTCGGAAGCATATACAAAATAAAATTGAGTAAGTTTGGACCTATTTTGTATCTTCCTTCCGCGACCTAAAGATTCTCCTCAGTTACTACACCGAACAGATGAAGGAAAAGGGTGTAGGTGTGCCCAATTATGACGATCAGCCAGAAGCTAAAGGTAACCTTCTTGACGTCTTTATACGTATGATACGGATCTGTATGACTATATACGATGTATGGTCCGAACGACATTATATACCTTTATATATTGGAGTTTCACAACAACCCGTTTTACGTCAAGTGAGAAACGCGATATTCGCGGTGATATGCAGTAGTAGTCGTGAAATACATTTTTCACTAGTGTTTTTCATATCACTAGGGTGAAACTCCAATGTATTTTTTCTAACTTGTTCAACATTCGTATGGTTCAGCTCTGGGTCCTGTAAACTACCCCTCATCCGTGCCTCCTCTCCCCGGCGCCCACCCCTACGCGCCCCCCTTCGCTGGTAAGGGCTTCGGCAAGGGCAAGGGCATGCCCTTCTTTGGAAAGGGTTTCGGTAAGTATATGTATTTTATGCAACCAACACATTATCAATTAATTTCAGGTTTCCCCATGATGGGAAAAGGCCTGCCGATGCCTCCTCCTCCTCCCGGGCCCTTCGGAAATCGTCCCCTCGGGTGATTGTATAATATATAACACCAAAGTTATATCAACGTGTATTCCCTTTCTACCCTATTGAGTTTCAGTAACCACTTCAATTCACCAGTTATCATTGGCATCCTCATATCTTCGCCCGTCGCCCGCCCGACCGTTTTGCTCTGTACTATCTCGTAGTAGCATGATCAATTAAGTAAGATTGAGGTTTGACTTCTCTCCTATGGTTGTGTTGAACGATGATGATTTCGACAACTCCCCCCAACACGATGAACGAGTCCGTAATAGCCACATTGGTCGTATGAGCATATTGGTTGTATTACGAAGTCTACGACTCTAATCTTAATACTTTAACAGGCTTGTACGGAGCCTGACAGGATGCCGCGGGTGAGGTTCCCAATGAAGTTAAACACTGTAGTAGGAGGAATGACGTGTTAGAGTTGAACGATCGAAAAATATTTTTATGAAGACTAGTGGCAAGGGTTACAATTGAAGTTTAATACCTTTTCACTGTATTTTTTTATTCCCTTTTTCTGTTCGAGAAAAAGAGAAGTTTTCCACACGGAAGTTTAGTACGTTTTTGATATTACCAAATTTTAATCCTCGCTGTGTTTTACCGAATCATGAGATCATGCAGCGGCGGATAATCAGCGGAGTTTGAGACTTCCGAAGGGCTTCTATCATAACATGGGAAATATTTGTATTTTTATAGAAATCGATCAAAGAGGGCAGATGTAGAATATCTGAGTGAAGCTAAGCTCATTATATTAGAAATATATAAGGCTTTCGAATTGGTGGATTTCATGGAAAAGCTCTAGGTCGGCATCATGAAAAATGAGATTCTAGACTTAGTGATTGGTCACACGTTTATTAACACTATCAGCCGGGATTCCGATCTCCTTGTTACATGCTTTCTGATACTTAGGAAATCTAATTCTAATTCTATACTGCATCTAAATTCATACTACACATCTAAATGCTAATCTATTTCTTATACTGCATAGGAAACTTCGACAGACTTGAGTTCAGGGTCACGCATGAGAACGCGTTTTCTCCCGTAGGTTTATCATCACCATCCTGAGAGCGAATGATTTTCCTGGAACTAGAGGCATCAATAGTAATTCCAGTGTTAATTGATTATTTTGGGTGGGCTTTAATTGTGTAGTATCACGACAGTGTTGAGGGAATATATGTTAGCGCTTTTCTCAGCTGACATCAGAACTCAGGCCTCATCAGCTCTGGCTTCTACTGCCATCGAAACTCACGTTGCCTCGTTAATGGAGGCGTCATGGATCTCACTGTTTGAGCATTCTCCATTTCCTCTTTCATATCATCTGAGGGTATCGCATTGAAGGACGTAGCTCGAGATGAAGTAGTAGCAGCTGTTGCATCTGCTGGTGCCGTAGATGATGATGCTGTTGGAACCGCGTTGCTTCTTCACTAATTATACGAAGAAATTCCTGAAATTGTGAAGAATTTCCTCCAAGAATTTTCATATTGTCATCAACACATGTTGTAACAACATCGGAGTTTCACCTGCCATATGAAAAACAGTGAAAAACATATTTCACGACTACTGCATATCACCGCGAATATCAGGATTTTCATTGAGTATTACGCCCGCCGGGGGGGGAACTTCATAGTTTATTTCAAGTCGTAATAGTTGAAGAAATAAGTACAGTGCGTGTCAATTGAATGATAAATCATCTTGTATGTTGAAGAATTGGGTAGGGTATTTATTTTCATTTTTTCATGGGTACGTTGAGCCCAGACTGGGTACTGAGTACCTAGCATTTCATGAGAGAATTTCGACAAGGAGGGCGGATGCTCTGACGTTGCCATGCCTCTATAGCTCGTGCGTGGCTGTTTACGCGTGAATGCGTATTCACGTTTTTCCCTCATTGCTGTGCTGCACGCAAGCACACTGAGGACTCAGCAGTGCAACGTAACTGCCACGAATATGCAAGTACTGCTTCTGGGCTCGAGTTTACTGCTGTGTTGAGCACAGGTTGAGTATAGTTCGTCACTTCACGAGAACTCACAGAGTATCCCAACGCAACGAGATCTCAAGGCTTCTCACACGCCTTTTTCTATCTCGCCGCTCTAACCTGGGCAGTTCGTGGGTAAACCGCGACAGCGACAACAATTGTCTATCGACCACTTGAATGTTCAAGACATATCTCTCTCGAATCACCATGATTGGCTAATTCTTTTGACGGGCCTTAAGAGCCTGTTGTTGGCTGCAACTGAGTATTACCTCAGTCTTGCCAGGGTCACTAACACCTACTGCCTAGAGTATCAATCGATGACTCGATCACGACTCTGTCGGAGTTACTTCAAGTAGATGTGTCCAGAGGCCGACGCGTGAAAACAGCGCCACGTCGTCTCCACCATATCGTGTTGTTATTCCAATTAATCATCTACTATGATACTGTATATGCAAACACGTTCGAATCAACTGGCGATACGAGGCCTTCTCCCACACATACTGTCGAATCCACAGTAGATCCGCATTAACAAATCGGTCTGGCTAGTTTCTCGAATCGATGTCGGTATGACACCCGAGAGCTCCATGAAAGCTTTGCAGAGCGTGAGAGCATGTGCTTGCGTGCATTGCTAATCGGCTCCCTCAGAAGATTCATATGATCTTCAAGTATATACTTGAAGTATATGCTCTTATCTCGCTAGTGTAGTGCCTATGTGGTTTGTGCGAGACTCGGCGAGTATCAATCGGCATTATCATGAACACTTTAGGTTCTCCCATCATTATAATGGTGAAAGCTTGCTTCCCTGCCATCATCATCATCATCATCGCTGTGCTATTCAATCTACCACAGTGCGATGCTAAACTTCGTACTTTGTCATACCAGACTTGGTGTCATGGAGATTTCTGCTCAGGGAGGTGTCCTGCTCTGTCGCAATGTATAGGTGACCCTATCAAAGGATGTCAGTGCGGCGCCCCAACCTGATCACTCATTTCTGGTGAATGAGTACATTTTACTACAGTGTGAAGCCTAGAAGCTTCGGCTTTATCAGCGCTTTTCCATGCGATATCTTCTTTCGCTCGTCCAATCCCATTTATTTTTTTTGTCATTTCATCCGGGGATGATATTATCCTGTTTCGATTTTCTGAGCATCACTACTAAAGCTCTGAGTTGGCAGTCAATACCGTTACTCGGTTGGTAGGTGAAAGGAATACACTTAGAAGACTAAGACAAGAACGCATTTCGATATCGAGGTCCCCTTCCATTATAATAGTTCATCGAAGTCGCTGTAGAGGTCAACGGGTAACTTCATCAATAATCCCGCTTCGCTACAAGGAAAAAGCGAAGTGGCTATCATAGGCCTAGGACCTAACTCGTAAACCGAGGAACAACCATCCTAACTGTGTCATTCACATGACCGAAGCGATACACGTATCTTCCTCTGTGAGTAGCATCATGGCGATCGCGCCAACACATCTTCTTCGAAACCGTTACCGTTTCGGATACTCATGATCGCCATGAACTAAACCAGAACTACAGACTCTTTTCTGATCTATTTGCTTCACCCATCCATTGTTGCGCTATGACCAATGGAACGGCAGATAACGACTAACCAACGAGGAATAACGAGGAATAACGAGGAATAACCATCATAAACCATCCTAACTCGTTCATGAAGGAAAATGAGGCTACGACCCCGAGCAGAGAGAAAGCCTGTGTCACAAGCTAGGGTCCTTTACGAACCTGTAAGTACTCCAAAAAGGAGTTCTGATATACCAGCAAGTTGCTCTGTTTCTGACAGCAACAGAGCAACTCAACCCTCGAGTGCGTGCTTTTCTCTTCTAGAGTGTAATCCAGTGACAGCAAGCCACAACCGTTTGACCCCCAAGCATTCCACCGTCACTATCTACAACACAACCTTTTGGATGTCGAAAACGCATGCCAGCTGTTAACATACACAGCGCGTTATATCTCATTTATTTTCAAAACTCCTTCCCACCTAAGGACCCTGAGTTCCTTACCCTCACCGTGAGTTCACGACTTTCTCAAGAATCCCTTCCCCTCTGTGATACTCAATTGAACCATTCTAAGGTTCTACGCCTAGCGGTGGGTCCTGCCCTGGAAAGTAAGAATTGAATATTCTCAAGTAGAGCTTTTCAAATTTCATATTGGAATGCACATTCTACATTCAGGGTCAACTTGAGGCGAAAAAGATGTCACCCAAAGCCACATCCAAGTTATCGAGTTAATCCTCGGCATGAGAATCTTCATAGTGAGTAGCATCTTTCGGATCACATCTCGAGCACGTGTGTGGTGACATTTAAGGTATCACTATAGAGAAGGTTAAGGTTGTGTTCACCCTGCTGCTGCCAGGAAGCAGCTTCCTATCACATCACCATCCATTCCGCACCGATTAATCAGTGTTATTAAATGCCACTGACGATCACAGAGGTTGAGAATTGTAGTAAAACTGACAACGCAAAGCGGTGGCCAGTAATAGTATATAGTGAAGGGAGCTGTAGTCAAAGTAGCAATGTACTAATTTTAAGAACTCCGTCACAACGAGATCAGATTCTGTTCGTCATCATCTTCCTCATCAATGTCATCGAGTTCCCAAGGTTGAACTGTATTCTTTCTTATTTTACTTGCGGTATTAACACTAACATTTAAGTTAGTCAATCTCTCATCTAGTAACGACTGTTCGAGCGTCACCGTATCGCACGGTATCAGCCTAAAAGAAATCGTGGTGAATACAAAACTTGATAATCCACTAATATCTTAATTTTCCACATTGGACATCATCCTTTCACCACCTGTTCACCAGGCCACGATTTCGAAAAGGTGTGGTCAGTGCTAGAGAAATATCTGTTCGCTCTCCTCAGCTGAGCTCAGGAGTTTCCAAAGCCACATTATACGATTTAGGATAGCAGTGTACAGAAACCAACGAGACTTTCCCAAATTTCCTCAGAATTTTCACACTGTCATCCCCAACACATGTAGTTAACCATGTGCATATTTTCCCAGCAATTCCAACTCACTCCCTTCCCGGGGTCATCGTAGCCAGTGTGGATTCTCTTTTCAACAGAGCACCGAGCGCGCCCAGATAGTGAGCATGCCGAAAATACAGCGCCTTCATACGGCCGCCCGTCCAGAAGTTGAACGACGATTGTATAGCGCTGAAAACCTACAAAAAAAACGGAAAAAATTTTCTCACCGAAAATTCCTCATCAACTTACTTGAAGTAAATGCGTGTCTAAAAGATACCCAACGAATACCACATTGTTAATATCATATAAACTCGCATGAAGATAAGCTAACTGTGCAGTGTTCATGGACATTAGGTTTAGCAATGACCTCGCAATTTCACACTCTTTCACCTGTCACCAACACTGATCAACAATTTCTAATATCGCTTACATGCTCTCGCTGTTCCTTATTATTGGCCTTGCCAAAACTAGAAGCCACAGTATTTCCCTTCAAACCGATCGAGGGGTAGTCCCCACCATAAATGTCCGATACTAGCAAATCCAGCGGTGAAAAATCACACTTCTTGCCACATCGCAGAATATCTAATCATCAAAATACCCTCACCGAGAATCGAACCAGCGCTGGGAGAATAAAAATATGCAGCGTTGGCGAGTGTGAAAAAAAGTGAGGAAATTTTGGGAAATCCTCGTTGGTTTCTGTATATTTGTATAACTCTCGAGCTCAACTGTGGAAAGCAAACATATATTCCCCCAACACGGAATCGAACCCGCGACCTACCCGCAGGCGTTCTCGAACACTCCGGAGGTAACATATGTCTGGCCATTCCCATCAGCGTCGCTCCGCCTATCGGTGAACCCCCAACACGATACATCGACCTAATTTGAATCTTTCATCATCGAACCTAAGATACCCCCGACCATTACGTCGGAGAATCCACTCTGTAAAAACTCGTACCGCTCTTCATACTGACCATCAGAAAAGGAAAAATGCTTTCGAATTTTTCCCAATTCACAAATTCCATACGCTCCACCAGCTCAGAATTACTTGGCAATGAGCCTGCCAAATTTACTCCCTGAAATGGAAACCAATCGTCAACCAGCAGAATAACTTCAAATAACAAAAGGAAACTCAGCTCTGGAAAAATTGCTAAAATAACCGTAAAAATCGCGTTCATTTTTTCCCAGAAAATCACAAAAAAACGTCGTCATTCGAGGGAAAAAAACTAAACATACGTAATATGTAATTTATGTAAAGTATATATACAGCGCGTTTCAGATTGATATGCAAATGTGGATCATTTTCCGAGATTAATGAGAATCGATCTGAAACTATATCGCATAAACAATGTAACAATGGCTATGAACATGTGTTGTGATGAGAGTACCCGTTTGGGGCTGTGATAGCGACAACTTGTTCACTTCCAAAATGCCACACATTTACATATCAAATTGACACGTACTGCACACATACATAACCGTGCTAAAACCTTTTTAGTGATATCAGCATCTATATAAGATTAACATATTGGACACTCAACCGCTCTGCATAAAGTGGCGTAAAACTCTGTGAAAAACGCGATATTCGCGGTGATATGCAGTAGTCGTGAAATATGTTTTTCACTAGTGTTTTTCATATCACTAGGGTGAAACTCCACTACAATAATGGTGATTCCTCCGTTTTACGTGAAGTGGCGTAAAACTCGGTGAAAAACGCGATATTCGCGGTGATATGCAGTAGTAGTCGTGATATATATTTGTCACTACTGTTTTTCATATCACTAGTGTGGTGAAACTCCGACCATATCACATATACAGTATTTCCAAAAACTTTTCGTAGTGAAAATAAAAAATTGCCCAAAAGGTTACTACCGAATCGTTGCCAACACCAGGGAAATAAAAACACTCTTGCGGCACATGTCTGAGTACGTAGTTGATACCAGCAAGCACACAAGCTGATTCACGGTGCCTTTCACAGCGCACTCCCATAGAGCACTCGATCGCTGAATGAAAAAAACAGTGTTGGAGGAATATATGTTCAATCTTCGCAGCTGAGTTCATGAGTTTCCAAAGCTATATTATAGGACTGTGTAGAAATCAACCAAAACTTCTCAAAAATTTCACTTGTAGTTTATACGAATTTTCCCATACTGCCAGTTTCCTAACCAGTGCTGACAAAATGTATATTCGCCCGAGTCATATATCAAAATGAAGAGTACAGAAACCAACTTGAATTTTTCATATTGTCACCAACACATATGCATATTTTCCCACAGTACCACTACTATGATACTATCCGTTTATCACCTTCTTGTAATCTCCACACACCGCTGCCGACCCCTGCAAATGAGGTTGTCCCACTCTTACGTTGAAGTGAAAGTAGATATTCACCAACCTGAACATAATGGTACGCGAGAAAACGAAATTTGATAGTACCACACTACGAATATCTACACAGCAAATTTTCGGAAACTTTTGTTTCTAAGAAGCTAACACGATCACACGAAGAAGTCCTAAATGATTTCGGATAAAAAAGTTATACAGAAATTAAAATTTAGTTTACCACAAAATTGAATGTTCTACGCCAGGCGGTAGTTGTGTTGGAATTTCTAGAGGACCTCGAAATAGAAACCACCTGGTATTTTCTGGAATTTCGCAACTCCTAACGATTCACTGTGAACTCCTGAGCTCAGCTGAGGAAATCAAACATATATACCAACCCAGTGTTGAAATATATATTCGCTTTCATCAGCTGAGTCCAAGAGTTTCCTCACTAATTATACAATTTCTGGTACAAGTGTACAGAAACCGATGAGAATTTCCCAAAATTTCCTCAGAATTTTCATATTGTCTGCATCACCTGAGTTTCCAGGAACTGTTGCGTGTCATTGAGGTCGAAGTCAACAAAGCGAATTTGGCTGCCGTCCTTGGTGCTCCGTATTGTCCAATCTTCCATTCCTTCATTCCAATCACTAGAGGCTAATGAAGACGCTTGCGATTCACTGGAATCAGCTGGGCTCTCGTCACCTAAAAGGAAAAAAAATTTCCGGGAAAATTTCATCAGAAATTTATGGGAAAAATTTTTCATCCGAAATTTATGAGAAATGGCCAATTTCAGAACCATAAAAACGCCGAAACCAACCGATCGGTTTCGTAAAAATTTTCACTGTCACTACTAGTAACAGTGAAAATTTTTGAGAGTGACAGTAAAAGCGATAAAAGCGGGTCACTATTAGTGACTCACTAAATATACACTACTAAAAATATATATTCTCGTACGAGTTTATTTTCAACAATAAATTTCTCAAATTTTTCCATAGATCTCCAAAAATTTATGAATTTTTCACGACCTATAAGCCATAGATCTTCATAAATCCTCAGAAATTTATCGAAAAAAATTCCAGAGTAAAATTTTCTCCTCAAAGTTTTCCTTTTCTATCAATTTTCACTATTACTAATTTCCCCAGCTGATGCATATCTTCTCGATCGGCGTCGTCCAGCCAGAAAACTAAGGTCGGTTGGTATTGGGCACTTCTCCGTATCAGTTGCTCGCACACGGACGGCTATCTTCCCTATATTCCCGCCGAGGTCTACTCCTACAAGGTTGCCCATATGTGTGTTATGAAAACGGTCTGTTGCTGAATCATATCCTCGGGCGTGCGCTAAAAACTCCCATAATTTTTCAAATTTTGAATCATTCGAAAAGTGAAGTAAGTTAACACAAGTATGTCCATGATAATGATCATCATGAAAATAAAAATTATGAGAGTTGACTTTCTCCCTCCGCATTCACCTCAACGGTTTTTCGCAGTCGCGTTCATCACGGAAATTCGATCCATGAGAAACTTATTTTTTTCAAGGATTGTTGGTATCAAAATGTTTCCCATTTTCGTCATTTTACTATTATTTTTGAGAGCTCGATTTCGGGCAAGGAACGTGGAGTCCTCAGTTGATGGTTGCATTTGGGTTGATAGCCTCGGTTGCGAACTCGGTTATGGAGGAGAATGCACTTCTTATTTAACACAAGTAGATGGCACTCTAGTAAACACTGTAGATTTGACATACTACGAAACGCTGTGTCGCACCTGTTGGTGGTTCGAAACGGAAGATGAATGTGAAAGTGTTGAGGAATGTGTTTGGGATGGTGCGGTATGTATGTACCCGAAAAAAGAGCTGCAAGCGATTTCATTAACCAGCGAGGAGTACCACAACAGCCTCATATTTAATGAAATCCAATCTCATGCTGTGTGTAGCAAGATCAAGGAAGAGGACGTATGCTTACAGACGCAATCGTGTCTATGGTCGGCTGAAAAAGCAGTAAGTTTAGCTTGGGAGGAGTTTATGCAACTCGTGTGGCTACAATTAATTTTTTGGGGGAAAATACGATGTGTGTGAATTTGACATGATGCAAATGTGTGTTATTTTCCGAGATTAATGAGAATCGATCTGAAACTATATCGCATAAACAATGTAAACATTGGTATGAACATGTGATGTGATAAAAGTAACCTTTCGAGACTATGATAGCGACAAGTTGTTCACTATCATTAATCCCGGAATAGAAATCACACATTCTTCACATTTGCATAGTATCAAATTTCCACGTACAGTACTTGTCCAATGAGAATTTGGTCACCGATTGTAGTAATCAAGATTCATAATTTCCAAGTGAATTTTTCCGTAGAATTTTTTCAACGTATTGATAATTTTAACAGTCGTAGTAGTAACTGTATAAGATGACGTTATTACAGTTTCGAACAAAATATGAAGTTTCGGAATAATCGGCGACTTCATATACTTTACACAATCAACAGTTTAGTCGTATAGAGCGACTCGCGAGAAAAGGCGAAAATCTCGTTTTTAGCAATAAAGAATTCTCCATAGGAAAAGTGTCAACAAATTCTAATACTAATGAAGTAACTCTTATGGTTGTTTTCGTGCTATTTTCAGTGTATTCGAGACATATGGAAAGTCATGGAAAATTGCTGTGAGCCTCTGCAAGCGATTTCTAATAGGGCAGAGCAGTGCCGAAATCGATCAAGTTCGGAAACATTTTGCCTCACACTGAGCGCTACATCGACTGTTACTACTACACTTTTCGAGAATATTAATCAATTAAATACCACACCTTGGCCGACTTCTCGGGGAGTGCAGCTCATCACGGTTGCCAGTGCTGCTGAGAACGCGACCCAATCTACTGCATCGTCATCGTCATCATCCTCAACTCCTGTGTGATACGGTGAGTTCTCAGAGTTGTGATATACGATTTTGGTGGTGACGTAGCATGTTAACTGTAGTAGTAGAGTTTCATGAATCGGCGATTTTGAAGTTGTTGCGGATCGTTTGCTGTGGGTATGGATTTAGTTTATTCCCGTATTTCCAATAACAATCAATTGGTATACACGTGGTTCACCGTCGAGTTATATAGTTTTCCAGAGATTTCACCACAAGTAATGTCTTACACCTTAGGCGTATGTGTTGAAAACTTATAACAATCAACGCCCCCATAGTTTTACACTGGAGTTTCACAACAACCCGTTTTATGTGAAGTGGCGTAAAACTCGGTGAAAAACGCGATATTCACGGTGATATGCAGTAGTAGTCCTAAAATATACTTTTCACTAGTGTTTTTCATATCACTAGGGTGGTGAAACTCCACTGTAATTTCACTTTTGCAGTAACAGGTTATTCAGCCAGGCGTAGCGAAGACAACATTGTATCTTCGAAGTTGTACAGTCTACAACTTCTCCTCGAGTGCAGTGGAGTGTTTCAAGCTGTTGAGTCTCGGAGTATAACCTTGTGCATGCGTGCACTAGAATTTCACCCTAGTGATATGAAAAACACTAGTGAAACATGAATTTCGCCGCGAATATCGCGTTTTTCGAAAACGCGAAAACGGGTTGTGAAACTCCACTGTATGCGATAAGTTTTTGATGGCGAAACTCTCCCATTTTCAGTTAAATTGTTTCCAATGTTAAGATTAATTTGTCTCCTGTCATTTCGTGAAGTATGGGCGTCGCCGTGGGAACTGCTGACGGGTGGGAGCTGTGTTTGGGTTGACGGTTTGGGGTGCGAAATATCATACCAAGGCGAATGTGATGCATACCACAATTTACGAGATGTGGATCTTCGCAAGCTGAACGCGCTGGATTCTTTTTACTACGAAACGCGCTGTAACTACTGCTCAAATATAACGGATCAGCAGAAGTGCTCATCAAGTGATATGTGCACATGGACTGCAGGAGCATGTTCTTTCCCTAAGCACATGGTCGCAAGTATGTCACTGGAAGATTGTGAACTTCCCTTCAAGGGTGTACAATCAGCGAGCTTCATTCAGCATGAAATCACCGTTCATAAGGCTTGCAGAGATGTGGGAAATGAAGAACTCTGCCAGGAGACTAACGCGTGTCTGTGGAATCACGGAAAAGTAAGTTGCGACAGTGAAAATGCTGTTTTTTATGTCGTTGATTTTTTTCAGTGTTCTCGCGATATATGGATAGTTATGAAATCGTGTTGCCCATGGCTTGAGCCCATTTACTCGAAGGCTTTCGCGTGTCGTCAGAAAAGTTGGTCACCTGTAGAGTGTGTTAGTTGATTTTTGTGATATCGTGGATATACAGTATTTTTCATCATTATTATTATCGAACTCGGTCTGTGATAATTGTTATTGTTGTCAAGTCTTGAGTCGATCTCATTTTCCTATTGAGAGCTCTCTCCATGAAGGCTTCGAGTAGTATTGCGTTTGTGATAGTAGCGAGCTCACTATGGGTGCATAGTCTTGGCTATTTTCAACTGCAATACATTGGCGTTCCACCCGCTTTACGCGGAGTGGTGAAGAACGTGATATTCGCGGTGATATGCAGTAGTCGTGAAATATGTTCTTCACTAGTGTTTTTCATATCACGGCCTGTGAAACTCTGTCGATATGAATACACGAGTGCCGTACTCCGAGTAAGCGAAAATCTCGAGAACTCAATTATTGAATCTTTTCGAAGGTACATGTACCTGCCAACAGTCTCTCATCAGTGGTCTACGTATGAGGACATACTTCAACCTGTTTGCTCACAGAGGGACATAACTCCAGACCAGCTGAGAGTAGCATGCGAATGATGTGAATCAACTCGATAAGAAGCTTGCCTCATTCTTTAGGAGATCCTACAAAGTGTGGCTGAAGTTTACACGAGGAAAGACCGAGCGACTCAGTAAGACATTGCTTGTTTTCGTCGATGCATTTACGACGTGGAAAACTCAGCGCATTTACTGCGTGTTTCGTTTGGCACTAGACAAAATACTACTTCTATTGCTGTGTACCAGTAGTGATAATGGAGTTTCACAACCCGTTTTACGTGAAGTCGTGTAAAACTCGGTGAAAAACGCGACATTCACGGTCATATGCAATAGTCGTGAAATATGTTTTTCACTAGTGTTTTTCATATCACGGCTTGTGAAACTGCAATGAGTCCACCAGTAATAGTACTACTGATGTCTACTGCAGTATTTTGAGAATACTGCCCGACGCAACCCAACAGTTTGATCAGTTTCTATAAGGAGTTACCGAGAATGTTGTGGAAGTTGCCTGTCGAAGAACGATCCTATTTTCTCGGAGTTGCTGTTCCCGAGATGGCCAAACGTGCCACAGAAATCGAGTCTATCGTTGGAGCGAAAGTGAAACAGACTATTGTCGCTCTGTATGTTCCCTGGTTTTCTTGTAGACGATTATTTTACTACGAAAACGCCGGGGCGGTGGAGAAACCCGAACGGTATTTTTTACACCGTATCAAGCATCAGCGTTGTTGTCTCTGGCATTCTTTGGTGTGCCCATGTAAGCTGGTTATGACATTCGTGTTGTGAGGAATGCCATGTGGTTTCCGTATTATTGTTTACTCTACTATGGAGCACAGTCCTGTTTCCAGCAGTTTCTAGTTTAGCCCACAATTTATCTATCGGACGCGTATAGACTCCCACGAGCTTACTCGTGTTGTATAGAAGTCCACGTTGCTATAAAACGACAAGACTTGTCTCACGATCGAAGCAAGTCTATAGCATTCCCCGGTCAATTTAACGTTCTGCTCGATTTTTCAGTAATTTACCCTTCATTTCGGAAAAAAATTTTCTCCATGAGTTGCCCGGTGTTTCAGTGAAATAGATGATCATCCGACACTCATTAACAACCACTATTATTAGGACTTTTTCTCCAAAAAAAGTGGGTGAATTTTAGAAGATGCGGAGAAACTTCGAATTGATCTGGAAATGCTATAGTGTGTATGAGGGCGATACTAGCCTTACTATTTACGGCTCCTTATACTCCTATATCATGAGTAGTTTGAAACTTTCCATCAACTTGTTGACTGAGAGTTGTTCATTGAGAATTGAAATTCGTCATAGACTGACTCTACGTGGCGTCTAGAGATGAATGTCAAATGTTGATTTTCATAACTTCAACAAATTCTTCAATTTGTATGTAGGTATTGGCCCGATGGTGACGATGGTATCGGCCGACCCTTCGTGCGGTTCAACTTCGCACATTTTTTCCACGATCGCCACAGCCAAGTTGGCAAGTTTCGATGCATCGTTCTCTACTTCAACCAGCAGTGCAATCCTGAGAGCCTCTCAGAAGACCGCGAAATTTCTATTACTCGTGTTCGCGGCACTGAACAGTGAGTGCACTAACACAATTCTTCAACGCCCGAATCTGTCTCCCCAGGCACATGGGCGAATGGTGGTGTTCTCGAAATGTGACGATGTCCAAACTAACAGTCATGATTTGCTTTCCCATGGCTTGCCCGAAGCCTCGTTGTTTAGATCCACGCTGATACAGATCGTATTGAGGACGCTTCTGGTCTACTACAGGCGGATTTCGCCAATTGCAGAGTTGGTGGTGGCGCGCTGTCTAGTGGCTGCGTTCAGGAAGAAATACGGTGAGAACATGAAATGCCGGACGCAGTGTTGGCCTCCACCCCTTGAACCACTCGACAATGGGATGCGGGTTACATACTTCGCTCCCTCATTGTTGGTCCCCCTTGCTGAGTGATCCGTTTGTGCGCTCTCTCGCCCTCTTGCCAACGGAGCCTTGGAAGGGTTTTAGGCGTATACAGTATGCTGGGTTTCCTCAGCTGAGTTCAGGAGCTTCCTCTCGCGCTGTTTCATACAAAGTGAACAAAATAATTGAAAAAACCTGCAGAATTCCGTCAGTGTCATCAACACGTGTAGATGACCATGTTCATATTCTCGAGTTATCAGGTTCATGATTTGCCCCGAGCTTATTCTTTCCATCTTAGTGGGAGCCGTTGACCCCTTGGCCGACTACGAATCCATGTACATACATGGCGCTATACAGTACGAGATAATCTCACTTTCTTGCCATGTCTAAACGATTGGCTTTGCTAGATTCACGGACTACACAGGTTATGCTTCCTCATTTTCATGCAGTGGTTATGTAGATAAAGTCGCGGCACAACAGTCTGACTGTTTGATTGTCATGGATGCTCTTCATTTCGACCAAGATCTGGTCAATCAATCGACCCAATATGATCCGAAGTGAGTTCACTGTACAGTCCTAGAGATACTTTGTCCTCTTTCTAGGCACATACTGCGAGAAGTGAATAAGTGTCATATCGCTGTAACGGCTCCTGGCTTGCCCGAAGGCGTGGCTCTGGCAACGGGCAACTGGGGCTGTGGTGTATTTGGCGGTGACCCCCAGTTGAAAAGCATCTTACAGGTGAGCATTCGACGGCATGCTATTGATCACACTGCTGTGATGCTACCACGATTTGTTGTACACTTGTATGAGAGACAATGGTTCGACTCTTCAGTGGCTGGCCTGTTCGGTTGCTGGACGAGACATGAATTATTTCCCCTATGGTGACTCGAGAGTGGCCGAGTTGGGTCGAGTGGCCCTCGTGGCGGAACAGGAAGGGTGGACTGTGGGGGACCTAGCAGCCAAGATCCTCTTGTATGTGGCCAACTGGGCGAATAAGTTCCAAGACTCAGACTTTCAGCATGTTTGTTCAGCACTTACTGTGAGACTAAGCGGAGAATCTCTATGATGTGAATGAGCAGGAGAATGCACCCTCAAGGTCTCCTGACTACTACCTACTGTTACATTTCTCAGGTGGTCAACTTCCCAGACCAGATCTCATGGTTTGTTTCATCACATGCTGCGCGGGGACTTTCAGCGTGGAATGTGCGAAGAGTTCCCGTCAAATGGGAATGAGAACTCACAGAATTCAAACTGATGTCAAGGCGTGTAATTTTGTATCATTATTCACTGTGATTTCCCTCACAATAATGTGTATGCGAGTTTGAAGTCCCACACAGACTGTACGGCTTAGCTGAAAATTCATCGACCTTATGCAAGTCTGGCATACTGTAATTTACAGTTTGTGTAGACCCCGTTAGATTCCCCCGATAGGGGTTTGTTTATCTAGGTGCTCACCTGCGCGCCAGGAGTGCACATACAGCTGGCGAGGCGGAGAGAAAATGCGCCTTCCAGCATCAAGCGGACACCTCCGCTGAGACTCTCAGCCAAAGAGACACTTGAGAAATGTACGCCTGATCATCTGTGCGATCACCAGGAGCCGATTGAAGTGCGCAGCTCCCCCGAGCTCCAAGTCCAAGTACAAGAATGATTCGTGTACTTGGGCTTGGAGCTCGGATTCTTGAAGAATCCGAGATCCACCGAGGTGACTCAGGTCGGTCGGGACTCCTTATTGTCGGTCGGGTTGTTCAGGATTATTCCTATGGCCCTGAGGGTGTAAGGCTACAACTCGTAGCCAAATGTGGTGTAAATGGTCTGCCAGGAACTCGTTACATCAAACGAGAGAATGAGCTGTATATCGACGATTTCTTTCTAATTTATTGTCCGCTTTCTGTAAAGTCCGACCGCCTGTGAGTGGTGCGGCGCATAATTGGATATACTCATCTTAATTTCGGAACGGTTTACTGTTTCTGTCTTTGGTCAGGGTTACCCTTCATTATTTTCCAATTGTTCCTTATTCCTTCATCATTTCCTACTGATCTTCCGTTCGGTGAAGTCCGACCGCCTTTGAGTGGTGCGGCATATGATTGAATATATTCTTGGTAGTATCGGAACGGCTTACTGTGTCAAGCAATACAGGA